GAGCCCTGCCTGCCTCCTGCCCCTTGGGTTTGGTGGGAGGGGGAAGCGCGGGCCGGGGCCGGGCCGGGAGGCCCCGCACTTCCCCTGCGGCAGCTGCAGGCGCCGGTGGCCCCGGGCTGTGCTGCGGACGGCGGGTGTTGGCAGAGAGGGGCACCTGCAGAGCCGGAGCGGGCCGGGCACCGGCATCCCTGAGCCTGCCGGGCTTGGGCTGGCAGAGATGCGGCGCCGGCGGCCCTCCAGCTTCTCCGCGCCAGCCCTTTCTCTTCCCTCCCTGCTTTTTGAGTACAGAGAAGCGAAGAGGGTGAAGGAGCCTGGCTTTTCTAGCCAACCCTCCGGGATTGCCTTGGAGAAATCTCCGGGAGACGTCTGGGAGTCACCCGGGAGATCAGTGATAGGGCGGGCATTCAAATACATATGAAATGTTGAATCTGATTTATGCTGCTGTCCGGTGGGTTTTTACCATGTAGTAGGCAATGATCTGTTGAGGTTCCTTCCAACCCTAGCTAGCATCTCTGAATCTATGTGCATTCGCCTTCCTGATGGGAAGTCATTGATGGCACTGCCTCATGCGTGGTTGAGATTCGAACAGAGCGGGCAGCCCTGCCTGCAGCCGCGCGGCTTCCTAGTGCGAGCTCTCTCTTGTGCATCACGCTGGCATGCCGGACGTTGGGCTAACACTGCGCCACACGCTGAAGCACCCCTGAACGATTGCAGGGCACGCCCGGGTGCTGTGGCCCCCATGGGTCACAATCCATGTTAAGCCCGTTTTTTTGTGGCACCTCTCCCAGCTGTAGAGAGTTGGTCCCACAAAATCTTACCTAGAGGGAAAATAGACTGTGTTCAACATCCAGAGATCCTGCAAATTACATGTGGGGCCGGAAACCATCACAACTAGGTTAAAATCATTACAAACAAGTGTCAACTAGACTATTTCTTTATTTCATCCCATTTTTGCCAAATTGTAAGATTGGCAGGGTGGAGGGGGGATGTTTCCAGCACATTCGTGTGCTGTTGTTGGACACTCAGTGGGAATGAGTGTGTTAGAACTGATTCTACAGGCTGCTTTGGCATCGTTGTCAAAATGCTGCAAAAGCCATAGAATAGTTGACACTTATTTGTACAGTAATGATTTTAGCTTCGTCCTAATGGTTTCCAGCCCCACATGTAATTTGCATAACCTCTGCACATTGAACATGATCTGTATTATCATTCATATAGGGCTCAGTACTATGAACTGTGACAGGGTTATTTAACTTTACACAAGTTCTGCTGATTTCCGTGAGGCTTCGTGTGTAGGTAAAGATAACCTTGTGTATGAATCAGCCCAATTGGGTCCATAGTTGATGTAACACTTAGCAAATTGTAAGGTTGCTTGAGAACCGTTGTTTATAAATGCTGGTAATGTCTGATGCAATTTTTACAAGCGGATAAGAAAAAGATATTTCTTCTGATGGCAATGATAATGTGGAGTGGCAAGATACCAATGCTGTTTTGAAAGAGAAGGCTCTGAAAGGCTGCAAATTAAGCCAAGATCTTATGCTGCATTATAGGCAGGGGAGAGTGGGAGTAGATTAAAACAAACAGGAATGGGATTTTCCCTGGCATTTGTTATCATAATATAGTTGAGAAGGCTGGGACAGATGCCCAACATAACCAACACTACAGAAAAGCTTGATTGTTTCAAAGACATGAGAAATAGCTCAAGAGCATTTTACAGTGGTTTGCACTGTAGTTCAGCCAAGTTCAGTTTTTGCTTAGGCTACCTGTCAAATTAAGTGCTGGCAACTGTGCTGCATAATGCCCGTAGTTTAGATCACCTAGAATATCCCACTCAGCGGTTGACCAAAACACCCTTTATTTTTATTCCTCTTGAATTTTCTATCTGTAAATATCTTGCCTGAAAGGCTATGTTCAGGTTGCCACATTTCTGGGTGTTTTCTTTAGGGCTTTCTCAGCCATTAAAATGTCACTCTGGGTCCTTGCTTCAACATAATACTGCTTAAATTTAGTTGATGCTTCTGACATTGAGAGACTGACATTAAGTATCCTTTTATTTGTGGCTTGTATTACTGTGGATAAGAATAACCTGATATTCACCAGTAGATTGTAGCCGGCACTCAAACTAGGCAGCAGAAAGTAGGCCTGCTCCTGTTACTACCCACTTGGGTTGATTACAAACAGCATGTTCCTCAGAGTGGTAAGTCACTTAAGTGGCACACTCACATACCAACTTCCAACTTCCACTGCAATGTCAAGAACCTACTTGCTAGGAAAAGCGTGAATGGGGTAGTCACTAACTGTGATGCTGTTTCTGTTCAGTTCCCAAAGTTTGAGATCTAGGAGAAGTGGCATTAATAGGAAAAAAAATGGAATAGGTCATTGTTAGAGCCTTTGTGGGTGGACAGGGAGTCTCCTACTAGAGGTATAGGATGAGGGAGGAAAATATTTCTCCTCCCCCAACATCTGTATGCCACAGGTGAGTCTATCACTTGTACATAATTGTCAGATAGGCACCTACTTAGGAACAACACAAGTAGGGTAGGGTTTGTCAATACAGGGCAGTTACTGTGAAACCACCTGGGATATTAATTTAAAATACAACAGATGGTTTGTACCAACTCCCAGTGTGACCGTGCTTATTCCTTACTGAGTATTTTCCTGTGTATTTGGCTTAATTTCAAAGAAACCACCAAAGCAAAGAATAAGAGTGCCCGTGTTGGAAAGTTAGCTGCAGTAGTCTTCTAGGTTGCTATCTGCATGGATGAGTCCTTAAACAGATGCACCTTAACTTCCCTGTAACCTTTTCTCTACTCCTGTGATGCTCACCGGGAAAAAGGAAATGCACATGGGTAGGGGGACAGCTCTTCCCTTAGACATTTTCCCCAGTTTCCATTTTGGCTTATGGTTGATGTACTAAGACAATGGTTTTCAACCTCTTTTTGCTTGCAGACCCCTAAAATTTTTCGAATGGAGGTGCGGACTCCTTTGAATTACAAGTCTGGGTATTCACATACTTTTGATTGATCATAATCATCTTTCATGGACCCCTTAGACACAGTCTGTGCTAATAGATAGCCATGGGCAAGCCTGAGGTCCCCTCATGTGCTTGTAAGTTGGGGAAAGGGAAAGAATGGGGAAGTTGCTAGGTTTGGGAGGGGGTATACCAGCATTCTTTCTTCCCTACTCAAAGAAAGCCAGCAATAGTCTCACATTTACATTTTTATAAAATGACAAGCACCAGTTTCAGTTTATATTGAGATAGTTTGCTTTTTTGCAGTAAAAATACCTTTCTTAATTTGCACATGGATAAGCCAGCAGCTCTGGGGTTATATGAAAAGAAGCTCCAAATAACATCACTACAAAAATTCTCCTTTTATTTTTTATACAAAAGCCTTCCTTGTACTTCTGCTGCAATGCTTTTCTAAATAATTTTGAGAGTTGGTTACTTTTTGGATTATAATGATTTTTTTAAATTTCAGTCTAATATATAGAGGTTGCAGGATGGTACATGCATTTTAAAAATTAATGCAACAACACTTTTGCAGCAATATTACTTTTTCAATTTACTGCCTGCCTGAGAAGTAAAGGAATTTGTTTTGCTTTTAAATTTTTCTTAAATCCTAAGAGGCAGGAAGGTCTTATGGCCAAGATAAAAATTGGAACCCTGGAAAATCTAGTTTTATTTATGGCTTAACTTCAGTCTTCCTCTGTGATTCTGAGAAAGTCACAAATGACCTATAAGATACTCATATTGGGTAGAATATTTAGTGGAATTACTGGAATAAAGTGTTGCTTCCTATGAGCCATTTATACTGATGTAAACATGGATTGAACACAGTGGGAGCATCTGCATATGCATCCCACTTCACAGTTGGTACTGCACAGTCATTTAATACTTGCTTTAGTAGTGCTTTAGCAGTGCCCGTGTCATGTCATTTCTGACCCTACTGCACAGTAGCAGGGAGCTGTCCCAGGGAATGGGGTGTGAATGTACCAGGGAAGAAGGACAAAGGATCTGGAACGGTGTGGATTTTCTTTCCTTCTGTAGAGTGGGACAGAATAGAGGCTGATGGTGGCAAGTCCAGTCAAGTGTCTGGAGCAGTCCATAGCAACCTGCTTGGAGTAACACAGCTGTTCCTGTCCATCTGCAAAAGACTGCCACAGAGATGCAAATCAAAATATTAAAAAACTGGAGGGGGGTTATCAGCACAATGGAACCACTACCTTTGTAGGAGCCAATGCTGCTCCAGTGCTAAATCCTCTAAGCTGGGCTTCATTATCAGTATTTCCAGGCTGGCACAGACCTCTAGGCAAGGATATTCTCTGCTCCAAAGACTTTATAAGCAAAAAATCAAAGTAGATGAAGGTTAAGGGAAAAGCTTTAAATATTTGCAGATCATTTTCTTTCAGGAAACTCTATATAGAGGTTACAGAATAGAACATTTAAATATGAAAGAACATGCTCCTTACAAGATAGTGATTGCCCACAGCTCTCATTGACTTCACAGATTTGGAAAAGGCAGGAAGTATAAGCACCCTCCAGTTCCAGATCTGTGTATATCTGCAAATAAAATCTGGGGGGTGATGACAAATGTGCATGTAAAAGAGTAGTTTGCTGAAACAATTATTTATTGAACATGTTAAGGACTAGATCACTAATTTATGTCATGTTTACATATGTTGTTTTTTAAAATAAAAATTAACAGTTGTATTTCTTAATTAATTACTTGTTCCTCATTCCAAAAGGGAAAGAAGAACAAAAAAAGGAATTGAATTTCAAACAGGAAATAATTCTACTACATTTATGTATAATCTGATTTTTATTAAGTGAATATGTTATTGCTTGAAATAGTCATTTTTATATTCAAAAGACATTACATCAAATCCCCTCTGACACCTTTAAGATTATATCTCCATAGGGGCTAGTTTTATTTCGTCTTAAAAATATGCTTTTTGAAAACTAAAGACACTGTCCCTATTTTAAATTTTAGATAAAAATCATGATTAAACAAATCTGGAGAGTGTGGATCATCTACACAGTCATAACTGCAAAGGTTTCAGAAGAAAGAGCTGTGAAGCAGGTTTGTCCTTCGTGTGATGCTGATCATTTTTGTGACTGTTCTTCCTTGGGGTTGAACACCATTCCTTCAGGGATAACAAGTGAAATCACAGGACTGAACCTGGCCCACAACAAGATAGAACATATCAGTGAAAATGACCTGAGGTCAGGCGTGAACCTCCGTGTGCTGTTGCTGCAATCAAATCAAATTTGGACAATAGACGAGGATTCATTTCACTCCCTTGGAAAACTGGAGCATTTGGATTTATCCAGTAATAACTTGACTCGCTTGTCACCTACTTGGTTCAGGGACTTTGTTTCCTTACAGCACCTGGACATACGGGGTAATTTCTATGCAGAACTTGGAGAAGGGTCCCTTTTTTCAAATCTTAAGAATCTGAGAAATTTGCACCTTGGGAATAAAGATCGCTTCCTTGCTATACGGCAGCAGGACTTTGAAGGAATTACTGTTCTTGAGCAACTTGAAATTCAGGGGGAAAAGCTCCATTGGTATGAGCAGGGAAGTTTAAAATCCATTAGGAACATAAATCACATAATCATAAATGTAAGAGGTATTTCTGTGCTATCATCAATTCTGGGGGATCTTGTAAATTCTGTAATCTGCTTAGAACTGAGAAATATAGCTTTCAGGACAGAAAATGAAACTATGTTACTGAATATAATGATTCCTTCTGTTATGAAGAAACTCCTGTTTAGAAATGTTTTGCTTACAGATGAAAGCATCCCTAGTATGATGGGAATCATGGCAAACATGAGACAATTGGGGGAGGTGGAGGTAGAAGACTGTGTATTTCAGGGGACTGGACACTGGTCTGGACTAATTCATGTAGACAAACCAAGTCCTGTTAAAGTAGTGACAATATGGACCTTAGTCATAGAAAGATTTTATGTGTTTTCAGATCTTCATAGCCTGTCCAATCTTATAGGTAACCTTACGAAGGTCACTGTTGGCAATACTAAGGTCTTCTTGGTTCCTTGCCTCATTTCAAAACGTTTGCTTTCACTGGAGTATCTTGACCTTAGTGACAACTTGCTTTCAGATCCCGCTTTGGGGCATTCAGCATGTATGGGCGCTTGGCCTGTTCTGAACACTTTAAATTTAAGTCAGAATTCCTTGAGCAATTTAAAGATGACTGGAAAAAGTTTAGCTCACCTACAGAAGCTAACAAACCTAGACATTAGCCAGAATAATTTTGGACAGATGCCGGAAGTATGTGAATGGCCGGAAAACCTGAAATATTTAAATTTATCAGGCACTCAAATCCCCAAGCTAACAGGTTGCATTCCTCCAACTCTTGAAGTTTTGGATGTTAGTAGCAACAACCTGATTGAATTTGGAATACAGCTCCCACTCCTCCGAGAGCTATACATTGCCCAAAACAAATTAAAGGCCTTGCCAGATGCTGCACTCCTTCCTGCTGTAGCGGCTCTGACAATCACAAGAAACAAGTTAAACAGTTTCTCTAAGGGAGAATATGAATCCTTTAAGAACATGAAGAGGCTGGAGGCTGGGGACAATAATTTCATCTGCTCTTGTGTATTTCTCTCCTTCATTCAGTCTGAGGCAGGAATAGCCAATGTCTTGGCTGACTGGCCAGAAAACTACATTTGTGACTCTCCATCTGCTGTGAGAGGGAAGCAAGTGGAAGCTGCTCAGCTTTCGCTGATGGAATGCCACCAAACACTGGTGGTGTCCTCAATCTGCGTTGTGCAGTTCTTGTTCATCCTGCTCGTTGTGATTGTGGGGTACAAGCTGCATGCATTCTGGTATATGAAGATGACCTGGGCTTGGCTTCAAGCAAAAAGGAAGCCACAGAAAGTGCAAACAAAGGACATCTGCTATGATGCTTTTGTTTCCTACAGTGAGAGAGACTCTGAGTGGGTTGAAGACTTAATGGTACAGGAACTGGAGCACGCCAACCCCCCTCTGAAACTGTGTCTTCACAAGCGGGATTTTGTGCCTGGGAAGTGGATTGTTGATAACATCATTGACTCCATTGAGAAGAGTCATAAGACGCTGTTTGTGCTGTCAGAGCACTTTGTGCAGAGCGAGTGGTGCAAGTATGAGCTGGACTTCTCCCACTTCCGCCTCTTTGATGAGAACAATGATACAGCTATTCTGATTCTTTTAGAGCCCATTCAAGGAAAGGCGATTCCCAAAAGGTTCTGCAAACTGAGGAAATTAATGAACACAAAGACCTACCTGGAATGGCCTCTCGAAGAAGTGCAGCAGCAAATATTTTGGTTTAATTTGAGAGCAGCATTAAAATCTTAGGATTGGCCTTTTAAGACTGAACTAGTAACAAATCCATAACAGGCTGGGTCTCATGTTTTTGTATGACTGGGATTTTAAAGTTTCTAGAGGCCAGAGACATTGGAAATCCTGTAGACTACTACAAAATACTATTTTTAAATCTTTTCTTCATATTGTGTTTGGCCATTGATTGCCAGCAAATTGTAGTCTCCTGTAGTAGTGGCATTTGCATTAAAATGATATATAAACTCAGGACAGAAAACTGTTTGGAGTTTTACTACAGTAGTCTCTACATCCCTTCATGTTTAAACTCTGTGTGAGGTAATGTCCTGCATCAAATGCATCATCACAAACTTTTATAAATTATTTTAAATTTATTTGATTGTTTTCAGTTTATGAATTCACCTGTCTAGCTCAGTGGTGCTCAACCTATGGCTCATGACTGGATCCAGCCTGTGGCACGGGGGATCAGCAACAAGCAGCTTGGCCCTGCCTATTCCCTTTCCTGCCATGTGCTATACTGCTTTCTCCTCTTCCTCATTGAAGGCACAATTTTACTCTTTC